GACAGACCACCACGGCAGCCAGCGGGGCCGGGGGGGGCGGGGTGGCAGCGGGACCTCTGGGTTGGGAGTCATCCCTGCTCCACCTCTGCTCCTCCGTTCCCTCCTCCCCCAGCCCACCCGGCTGCTCCGTTGGTGGGAGCCCAGGACTCTTGCTTTCTAGGGTGGAAGTGTCTGGGGTTGGGGGCCCATGGCTGCAATGGGGGGGCGGTCTGGAATGACACAGAAAACACTGATATTTGACTTCGTTTTTGTTTGTTTGTTTTTTAATATATTTTTGTTGATTTCAGAGAGGAAGGGAGAGGGACGGAGAGAGAGAAACATCCATGATGAGAGAGAATCATGGATCGGCTGCCTTCTGCACATCCCACACCGGGGATCGAGCCCGCAACCCGGGCATGTGCCCTTGACCAGAATCGAACCCCGACCTCCTGGTTCACAGGTTGACGCTCAACCACTGAGCCACGCCGGCCGGGCTGTCCATTCTCAATGCTGAGAGGACGGAACGCCCCCCTTTCCCGCAAAGAGTGTCCCCATCTGCTATGAATGGAAACGAAAACCATGATCTCCAACTTCCGTTCTGCAGGCGACTGCTGGCTGCTGGCGGCCATCGCCTCCCTCACGCTCAACGAGAAAGCGCTGGCGAGGGTGGTGCCGCAGGACCAGAGCTTCGGGCCCGGTTACGCCGGGATATTCCACTTCCAGGTGAGCCCTGCCCTTGCCTCTCTGAGGGACGTCTCCAGCTGCACGTCCCACACTGGGGATCGAGCCTGCAACCTGGGCACGTGCCCTGACCAAGCAGGTGGGCCTGGGGCAGTTTGGTCGGATGAAGGAAAAGCAAAGTGATGAGCGTCGGCCGTGGGCTGGCCCTGCCGTGGGACTCACCCCGACGTCCGTCCGTCCGCCCCCACCGCCCGCAGTTCTGGCAGCACAGCGAGTGGCTGGACGTGGTGGTCGATGACCGGCTGCCCACCTTCAGGGACCGGCTGATCTTCCTGCACTCGGCCGACCACAACGAGTTCTGGAGCGCCCTGCTGGAGAAGGCCTACGCCAAGTGAGTGCCGCCCGCTCCCTGCTGGCCACCCCCTCCCGGGGCTGCCCCCCTCCGGGGCCTTCCCCTGCCCTTTCTATGGAGCTCGGACACTCAGCTCGGGGTCCCAGGTGTGGGTCCCGGGCCCACCTGCTGGGGGCGCACTCAGGGCTGGAGGTGGGAATGGAGAGGACAGAGCAGTTCTGCAACCCCAGGCACAGTGTGCCCCCCGCCCTTGCTCTCCCTGCGTCAAGAATCTGGCCTCGGCAGGGGCTGGGAGGGTGGGCAGAGGGCGATGCTGATGTGCTGGGAACAGCTGGTCCTGCTGCCACTGCCGCCAAGCGCCAGGGTGGCTCACACATCTGGCCACGAACCACGTGGATGTTGACGTCAACGTTTCCCCCCTTCACGATGCTCCTTTCTTTCCATTTTTTTAAAAATATACTTGTATTGCCAAAACCGGTTTGGCTCAGTGGATAGAGCGTCGGCCTGCGGACTGAGGGGTCCCAGGTTCGATTCCGGTCGAGGGCATGTACCTTGGTTGCAGGCACATCCCCAGTGGGGGGCGTGCAGGAGGCAGCTGATCGATCTCTCTCATCGATGTTTCTAACTCTCTATCCCTCTCCCTTCTTCTCTGTAAAAAATCAATAAAATATATTTTTAAAAAATATATATTTGTATTGATGTCAGAGAGGAAGGGAGAGGGAGAGAGAGAGAAACATCCATGAGGAGAGAGAGTCATGGACCCGCT